CAACAAAATAATAGAGAAATCATCATTTTCCTCCTTATCTAACTACACAAGTGACTGCTTCATGACTCCTCAAATTTATTGAGTAGCAAAACTGGAAACAAAGAAGAAATATGTCCTGTGTCCTCAGAAGCATCGAAAGCCTTGAGCTGTCAGGACCAAAGCACGTCTTACTAAAACCAGCTGTGGAAAATCCAAGAGCAGCTGGGGAAGGTAAACACAAGATCAAAAAGAACCCCTTCTCCCGCAAGGAGACTTCCCGAGTTAACCAGGTTAAGTGGCCGTTCTTCACTTTAAGGCAGAATTACTTTAAACTCACTAAAAATGTTCCCCATTTCTTATTTTTTTAAAAAAAGAAATTTATGCATTGAATCTATAATGAAATGCTGCTTAAATGAACCCAAATTAATTGAAATTAAACATGACATAGAATGCAAAAGGTAAAGCAGACAGAGATGAATAAGTGAAAAATGAAGAGCCTTCCCGCTCCACTTAGCAGCACCCTGCTACCCTACAAAGTGAAAAGGGGGGAAAGCGTACCGGCCCACAAAGAAGTTTTAAATGGAAAATAATTGTTTTCACATTAAAACATACAAAACGAATTTTTCTTGAACCACTAACGTGTGGATTTTAAAAAATCAATAACATATTATCTTTAATCCATTTGAACGAAGATAAAGGGGAATGCAGGTCTGGCTCTCAGAAGCCTTCACTATACTGCTCTGCAGCATCACTATAGGATGTAACTCCTGTTGCTGTTTGCTCAATTAAACTTGGAGAAGCTTTAAGGTCTCAACATTTTAGGAGACGGGAGCTCAGCGAAATGTGTTTGATTTGCCCTTCAAGAAACCGTGTCAAGGGCACCGTAGATGCTCAGTAAAGAGCCCTGAGTGCAGGGATGACTGAGTGAATGAAACCACCTCGCCCAGGGCTGGACCATGTGCAAACAGCAGTCAGACTGATCAAAGCAATGGGGCAATAAGAGTAGATGAGTTCCTCCCTCCCCTCCCCATTCTTCCTGGCAGCCTGTAACATAAAGGTCTCAAACAACCTGACTATATTTGGGGCCCAGATTTGTGTGTGTGTGTGTGTGTGTGTGTGTGTGTCTTTGAATGGGAAGTCATTACCATCATGTAAAAACTGGGAGATTTTGCTTAATGGAAAATTCTGGGTCCCTGCTTCTCTATAGAGATGGATTAGGAACAATGAGCTGGCATGCTCATCATACAGGATGCTGCTAAGCAGTATTTTAAATTATTTATGATATAAATGGTATCTCAACAGCCCTACAAATGGATATTGCTATTATCACCTCCATGTTATGAATTGGGAAACTGAGGCACAGAGGAGCTAAGACACGTTCCCAAGACCACACAATTCCGGGTGATAGAGCTCAGCCTGGAACCAGAGCATCTCCGTCTTCAAGCCGGTCCTCTAGATGCTGTACCACTGCTGCCTCCGCTGGGCAGGCTACTGCAGGCTCTGTCCTCTCTGACTTCTCTATTCTAGAACATTTGCTTTTTAATACTTTTACATGTGCTTTTTAAATACATGGCCAGTTCTGAAGGAGAACCAGTGTGTCTCCAAGTTGGAGAGGATACAAAAATCTCACATACTCGGGTCGGAGATCTTTAGAAGTCCTGTTCAGTGTGCAAAGACTGGGAGCCTGTGTTTGCAGCAGATCCCGGATTCTGCATCACGTGCGTCAGGACAGGGAGCCCCAAAAAGGTCCTCCAGCACCGTTTAGTCCTTTCTTCCTTTCACCCCTATCTTCTCATCCTTCTCCTTTCTTCCCCTCTGCTTCCCTCTTGTTCTCAGTTGGGGCTTCTGCCTCTTCTCTTTCAAAGATCATTATTATTCTTGCACATCTGGGTGGTATTTATGTGAGTGCAATACATTAAAAAAAACTACGTAAAACTACATCAAAAAGCTGGGGTCGCCTGCGTGCTGAGACGATGGCAAGGGTCGCTTTTCAGCAGGGGTCTTGCCTATTTCAAAAAGCATCAGGCTCTTGTATCAAAACTCGCCTCTCTTTTCCTTTGGCTGCAACCGTGCACATCAGTTCAGCCACCTGAACACCTAAGAAGACAAAATAAATTCGCGCCGAGGGGGTCCCCTGGTATTCAGAGCAGGTCCCCCAGTGCACAGCCCCCCCACCCCAAGTGAAGTGAGGTCCGGGGCTTGCCCACACACACACACCTGGGCGAGATCGGGGCCCCGAAGGGCAAGAAGCGAAGGTGGAACTGCGACGGGCGGTTGCGGCGGCAGAAGCGAGCCTGTGTCTCGCGGACGGACGCTAGGGGGCTCCCTTGAAGTTCGCAAGACGATTTCGCATCAAATAAAAAGTCGTGCTTGGCTTCTTCCGGCTAATAAATTCACAGGGCTTGTTTTTTAACCCCCACCAGAGGTTAAAATAGTTTCATAAAAAGTTTTGGTAAATTCATGGGTAACTTTTGAGGTTATGTGAGGTTTTGTCAAAAAAAAAAAGAAAGAAAGAAAGAGAAGAAAAAAACAGAGCGTTTCTTTCTGCGCAACTAAGACCAGAGTCACGAAGCCCGTGAGGGCGGATGGGAGGGGGGCTTGGGGCTTTCATGTTCCTTCTAGAAAGGGCCACCCAGAGATGGGGGTCTCAAGACCCTCTAATGCCCATCAGTGGGGGGCGCGGGGCCCCCGGAGACCGCGCCGCTCAGCCTGCCCCGGGCTCAGCCTGCCGAGCTGCCTGCAGCCAGACCCTGCCCGGCAAGGGCTGCCTCCCTCCGCAGCCTTCTTGATTTTTCCGGGGCTCCTACCCGCAGTCCGGGGCGAGCACTGGTCAGGGGCTTTCGCACTTCCTGGCAGGTAGTCAGGAATAAAGCAAAAGTTCCAGTCCCTGAGTAGGGGTTAAAAGAACAAGAACTTTATGGGATTGATAAGAAAGAAGACGAGAGGAGGCAGAAGGAAAACAGCGCGGTTGAGGGAGGGGGCGTCGCGCGTTAACTATGATTCAGAGACTCAAAAGCACCGAGTTCGTTTTTCAATCTGCCTTTAGCTAGGGGAAAAAAATAAGGAAATTATAGAAAATTGAGAAACAAACATCTCCGAGAGTGCTTTGCACCCGGGGGTGCTTAATGAACACTTAATAATTTCAAATGCTAGTACTTAGAAAAATGGCTTTTGTCCATTCCCCGCACGCCAGGTGCCTCGTAGCAAAAGGGAGAGCTGAAAATGACTGAAAATGATCACTAATGTCTGCGTGGAGGGGGAACAAAAATTACTTTTTCATGTCTTTGGAAGTTAAGGAAACAACGCAAGCCAAAATTTTGAGAGTTTTAGCAAAGGAAAAACCTTGGAATTAAATTTGCATTTCTTCTCCTCAATGTCTGAACTTGGGCAAAACTCCTAATCAGGACAGAGAAAGGCCACGGCACCCCTGCCCCCACCCCACAGGGCCATATTGAAAATTAGGTGAGGAAAAACATTCGAAGGAAACTCTCCAAATGCTGGAGCAGGAAGCAATGCTGTTGTTGGAGCAGATTCTCCATGCTCCCTGCCAGCATCCAACAAGGGGTAAAGGCCAGTGTGAAGGCATTTATTCAGAGGGAAAGCAGCGTCCCTAAGCAGAGCCCCTGGTTGCCAGGGAGGCCTGAGGTGGAGTGGGGCTGGCTGTGGAGGCTTGTTCAGATCCCTTTGTCTTGTCTACTTTCGGGGCCAGTTTCATGGCAGCAGGGAGAGGGCTGTCTGTATCTGTGCCCTCCAAGTTAAAGCGCCCCCGATAGCCTCCCAAATACCAAGTAACTCCTCATCTGAATGTCACTGTTCGTTGACTCGTTCCTTTGGCTTGCAGATGTCCACTCCAGACCTGGGGTGGAAATTTAGCCCAAGACCCCAGTGCGGGTCATGATAGCCACCACATCTGCAGAGTCCTTCACAGTTCACACAGCACCTTCCACTCACCCTTCATGCAACTGGAGCTGTCAACAGTCTCAGAGGAGATGAGTGGGGTATTCCTAGACTGGCTTCGCGGGATTTTCAAGGGCCAGGTTAAGTGAACCCGTGTAGTTAAACACCTCTGAAAACTATAGACTCGGAAACTGCACCCCCATTTTACAGATGAGCATCTGGAGGCAAAGAGAAGTAATGACTCTTGCTCAAGGAAGTGGCAGGAGGAAAAGTCAGGATTCAAACAAAGTCTTCTGAATCCAAAACGAAAGTTCTTGCCCTGCATCCTTCTTAGCCTCACAGCAGACTGAGAGAGGGAGCTGGAATAGCTGGCTTTCCACGGTCTATCGTAGGAAAGAGCTGGGGTAGATGGTTCAGAAGGCGTTGAGGTGCCTGGCATAAGAAGGCACTTGTAAAAATAAATACAATAAAAACAGAAGTGTTCTCAAATGCTAGACAGACGTTCAAACCTAAGCTCGCTCTGTTCACAAGGGAGATGACTAAAGGGTTAACTAGGCAGGTGTTAAGGACATGCTAGCATCCAAAAAAGACTTTCTCCATGATGGAATCAAGGGGCTTAAAAGGAAATTGAGAAGAGAATGACTTTCTCATTATGACTCAATGTATTTTAACATTGATCTATGTATCATTGAAAGTTATTTCTCCTCTAGGCTCACCATTGATACCATTCTGCCTCATCTTGCCACTAACACTTTAGTTAGAATTAATCCTAAAGATTAATGTCTCTAAAAGTAAAAAGGCTTTGCCCCTCCTTGAAGACCAGGTACCAGATGGAGGTGGGAGGGGAAAGACCCAACAAAGTAAGTTTTCATAATTTTGTACCCCACCTGTAATTCTGTTGAGTACCATACCTCAAATCACCACTTCTCATCCTGCCTCAACCTCTGATTCCGTTTTGCTACCAGCACTTCACCTAGAAAATTCTAGAACAAGACCCAGGCTCCTTTTGTGGACTCTGCTGAGAAGGGGCTTTCCCAACTCAAAGGTAAGAAGGATTTTTAGGAAGTCCTTCAAAAGCAGAACAGTCTCCATTCCAGGTTTGGGATGGAAGGTATGCACTTCTCTTTTTTTTTTTTTTTTTTAATTTTTAACTTAAACAAGCATTTGTTCTTCAAATACCCATGTTTCAACCTGTCTTTAAATGACTGTATTGTCCTGCCCTCCCACCTCCCCAATGGAACCAACCGTGGGTACACTGGTGATTTTTGTCTTCCCACCTTCTGTTGGTACAAAAATCAGAATTCAGAACATGTCACTCTGTTTCTACAGGAATCTATTAGTGATTGCCAAGGGAAACACTTAGCATTTTAGATAAATAAGTAAATAGTAGTTAAGTGCTGTGTGTCTCCATTTCCAGCAGTTTAGTGTGTATGGCAAAGAGTCTTTATGATCCAAGGAGGGAAAAAGGAATGATAAAGAGTGACAGACTTCAGGCCCCCCGCGTGCCGGCATCACTCCCTTGTGCAGTGGGGGCCCGGACAGAGGGGCCTTTGGGATGGGTGTCGGAAGCACGGCCCCCTCATGGTTATGTTCCTGTTTATGCTAGCCCACTCTCCCTTCTCCGCTCCAGCCGGCCTTGTCAGGATCCCTCATTTGGAAGCTTAATCATATCAGCGAGCTTACCGCATTGCATTTGTAATGACTTGTTTACCAGTCTGTGCCGGCTCCCTCTGCCAGACTGGGCTCTCCCTAAGGACAAGGGCCGTGTCGTGTTCTTATTTGCCTCTCTTCCTGCTCCCACACACTGCCTGGCACAGAGCAGGCCCCGGTAATTGCATGTGGACCTCAAGCTGTGAGACTCTAATCTATTTCCCAAAGGTGTCTCGGTCCACCAACCAGTCCCCAAGCTCCTTCAGAAGAGGGCTCCTGCCATCTTCTGCTTCTCTCTTCTCCAAGGGCATGAGGGGGCTCAACTGCTCACAAACGCTTGCTGAATTGCATTAAACTATGAGTAAAGGGGGTCTAGGGACCTGTGGTTCTTACCTGCCTGGCCCCCCTTCTTTTGGGAAACCACCTCTTCTTTACTCTTAATGGCTGTAGCAGAGGTGGCCCCAACCCATTCCTCCATATGAGGACAGATGCATGACCCAGACTGGGCCGCTCAAATCCCCAGTGATTGGTTTAGGAGAGACACATGGTCCCAACCAGGCCAACAAGATTCAGTTTGGGGACTCGGGTTGTGAAAAGGAGTCAAGCCAAAGTGAGTGTGGACAGGCCGGGCAGGTACCCAAGGAGCTGACTGTGATGACCCAGAAGAAAGAGGAGCCAAGAGAACGAGAGAAATTGAGTCCTGGTGACATCATTGTTGCCTCTGGATTCAGCCAAGCCTGAAGCCATTGTCTGTATTACATTTAATAATGAATTGTTTTGTCCAGGTCTGTTTAAATTGAGTCTCTTTTCCTCACATCCTAAAGAGTCCTTCCTAACACAGGCATACAGAATTTAAATCTCTACCTCCAGTAGCAACATTTCAGAGTAAGAGAACCAGGGGATAACAAAAGCTTGCAGAGAGAACCAGGGCTGTGGTACCAGCGGCCGCAGCCCTGTGAACCTTCTCATTTTATTCCAGGAGTCTGGACTGTGGCCCCAAATCCCACACTAAACCAGGAAGGGCTGAGAAATTCATCTCCCTGGCTTCTGCTTATAATGAGGAACGAAGACGCTGCACAGCCATGGCCTGTTTGCTCTGTCGAGCTCCCAGGCGGCCTCGGCTTTCTGGGAGGGAGTGAGTAACACTTAGGGCTCAGCCGCCTGCAAATCAATTAATCTCTTCTGCAAATTGCTAACCGGGTGTAATGAATTGGCTGGGCACAGAGGAAGTCCTGCGTGGCTTTGTGTCCTTCGCAGTGACGGAGCAGACTGAGACATCGTGCCTCGGCTGAGGAACAAATCTATTAATATTTGCAGAGAACATCAGATTGTACCCAGAGGACTTAAACTTTGGTCAAGAGAAACTCACTTCTCTGTGATTTAAAAAAACAGTCTTCTCATCAGTCCATGTTTTTTTCCACTGACAATCCCCTCCTTCCGCATGGCCTGTCTGGGCTGTGGATCCCCCAGTGGGATGCAAGGGGGCACGGAAAGGCCCTCCTGCCCACGGGCATCAAAGGTAGCCTCTTCTACCCACCCTAGGGATTGATAAAAAAGTTTGATAAGGTCAAAGAAAGAAGAGCTGCTCTAATATGGTAGCGGTGGGAATGTAAATTGGGAAGCAATTTGGAAATATCTATTAAAAATGTGCGACATAACACTCAAAGACCCAGCAACTCGTCTTCTCGGGCCTTCCCTGAGAATCCCTCTGCTTGGGCCAAGGAGTTCCGAGCAGCGGGTCCAAGGAGCGCAATGCAGTCGTGCAGTACTGGAGAATACCAAACTATCCATTGTTAGGAGAAGGCAATGCAAACGAGAGTGGCCGCCTCTCCCGGGAGAGGCTCTGTCCCTGTTTACAAGGTCGAGCTGGGTCCCTGTGTGTTCACAGTGGGAAACTACGAAATGTTGTCAAGTGAAAAAAAGCAGGTTGCACACGGGATGTACAGTGTGGTACCACGCGTGTTGTGCGCGCACGCACAGACTCGCACAGAGATCACGATCTGGCAGATGCGCTCCAAACCCCAATTCCCCGTCTTCTCTAAGGGCCTGGGAAGGGGCAGTGTGATCTGAGGGGGCTCAGGAAGGGGAGTGGGGGTCAAAGTGGACATCAGCCTTGTTACTGTCTCTTAATGCATTAAAAGAAGTATCATTCATGATTATATGTGTAATTAAAAACTAATAATTAACTTTTGTATTCCTCTAGGTGGTGCATCACTTTTTCCAAGTTCTTTTTAAACGCCAATGTGCCCAGCCAGTTTCGGGAGCTTTCTGGTCAGACTCCTGGTGTCCACTCTATCTGCCCCAATCCTTGCTCCACTGTGTGCCTCGAGTGATCTTTTTAACCCCTACATTGAATGGTCCTCCCCACCCTCGTTCCCTGCACCCCACTGTTCTCAGGAGAAAGATGAACCCCACCACCGTGGTCTGCAAAGATCTGCAAATGTGGCAGCTCCTTGCACCCCCTCTCACTCCACCCTGGGCACACTGGGCATATCTCACTGTCCCCTCCCGCCACAGACAGCACATCCACAGTGGGGTCTGGGTCACTGTCTCAGAATCCTAGAAATTCAGAGTTTAAAGCTGCCTGGGAGACCCCTGGCAGCCCCCAAGCCCCCATCCCAGTGAGGCAGAGGGCCTTTGTAGAATGCCACCCCATGGCCTCTGCAGCCAACTCTGTTGAATGCAGAGTTTAAACCTATAGAGGTCAAGACCTTGCAAAAGTTGAGGAAATACTAGATTAGACGATACAAGCCAGCAGCGATCCTATTGACAGAGAAAAGAGGATATGGCAGCACAGGAGTCCCCGAGAGGGGCTCCAACCCCAGTGGGGGTGATTCACAACCTTAGAGTTAACTACAACTGAATTGCACAGCGAGAAAGCTGTTCTCTTGTGGTCCCTCTGACTAAGGAAACAAGAAACTCTCTGCTGATGCTAACCTGTCTCCAGCACCTCCCTGATACTTCCAGATCTCTCATTAGCAAAGACAGTGTGCTCAGGGCCACGACCTCTGCCCACAACAGATTCTAGCTGGAATTTATTTACCAAAAACATTGTTAGTAATGTTTTTCTTTTCTATTACATTCTCTTAATGGCATGTGATACTGGCTTTCCGTTTTCAGCGGTGATAAACAGTTTCTCTTTAAAATAAATGTATTTACGTTTTTTGTGAGAGAGCCTAAAGGATAACATAAGTGAATAATCGCATAGGTGACATGCAGAGGCGACAACATTTCTGAAGGTGGTACGTGAATTATTTGAATTTAGGAAACACCGCTGACCACCAGATTTATCATCCTGGTGGCCCTGGGCAAATCACTGACCACCTCTAGGAGGCTCAGTCTTCGCATCTGCGAAATGAGAATCAGAGTCACTCATCACGAGTTTGTTGGGGGCATTAAATGCGGATGAGCCTCCTAAACTGAAAGTGCCTTCTGAGTTTAGTTGTGGGGAGAGTTTTCTAAAATCTCACTTTGAAATGCAGCCCCGAACGTCACCGTGTTTACTGCTACAAGCTATGCCAGCTGCAGGAAATTGCAAAACCATAAACTCGGTGTAGTTCTTATCGTTCAATAAAACATCTCCCTCAATCAATATGACTTCGGATGTGTCATCCGGGCACAGGGCCATGCGCGGCTCCTCTTCAGCATTCCAATTTTAGTCTGTGTACCGGCAGAAGTGGCACGACTGCCAATGTGCCCAGCAAAAGCCCGAATAATTAACCTCAACCACATCAATGTTCTCCATTCAGTTCCGCAAAATGCGTTTCTGAGGAAATATATAAGAGCACTCTTTATACCACGGAATGTTTCAATGTATCCCGGCATCGGAGTAAACAGAACGGGTCTCCATTAATGGTCCAGGTCCTTTTAACACAAAGGATTTCAATTATAAAAAAAAATGTAAAAGCTGATATGTCATCGGCTAGGGAGAAAGAGATGTGCATATAAACACAAAAACAGAGCAAACCTAATTATGAGATTCTTTTTTGCAGCCCAGGGTCAATAACTGTTATATTAGGAACTGTAATAGGGCTGTATGCCGATGGATTTTAAGCTCCCAGAGACTAGAAAGTCCCACTTGAAATGCAAACAGAATTCAGTGATGTTGCGTTCATCCCCACAGCGCCCCACGTTCTGAAAAGGAAAGTATTCATTTCAGAGCAGTGACCTCATCAGGAGAAATGCATCAGGAACTGTGTAACCACAACAAAAGAGAATCCGCAGTGCCTTCCGCTCAGATGGTGTCACCGACTTTGTATGGACATGTGGGTTTTTCAATTGCTTTTTCTAATGGAAAAATAACACTTGAACACGAGCCGTGTGCGCAGACACACACGCACACACAGACACCTGCAAAGCTTCTCTTCTTAAGTGAGACCCTAACTTGGGAAGTAAACATTAGAGGAACCACTTTCATGACAAGACTTGATGGATGACTTTCCCTTAAGCCAGAAGAGATGGTCTTGCTGCCCTACATTTGTTGGCCCAATTGGCCACAGAGTAATTGCCAAGTGAAGAACTGCCCCCCAAATCCTAAGCTGGCAGCAGAAAGACAGGTGTTCAGGTGAGATGAGAAGCCACCCCAGCAAGGTCGCATCACACATTTAACCTAAACCCTGACTTTGAAGCTCTCTGCCCCCTCCCCGCCCCATCGCCCAGAAGACACAACTCCAATGTCTTTGTTAATCCCCACCCCCACAAACTAACCCCTTAAGATGTCATAACAGTTGTGGAGGCTTTAATGATGCAGCAGACGGCATGCACGGCACAGCCAAGTGCGGGCGGTGGAGAAGCCCTCGCTCCCCTCCTCAGGGGGAGGGCTGGCTGTCTATCCTCAGAGTAGCTCAGATGGACAGATGGCTGTTTCGTGTCCTCCGTTTACCCCCATGTTCCTCAAACATATTGTGCTTGAGAATTTCTGCCCAGAGTTGTGGACACCAGTCATACGCTTATGACTGATTTACAGACTTTTCAGAGATAATTTTGACTACAGGTGGTTTTGACTAAAGTGCTGGCTTTGGAGACAAATCCCCCACTTAAGATTTGGTTCCACTGGAGCGTCAAGAGGATCCCGGGTTAAAAGACATCAGAGTAAACATCTTCAGGTTCAAAGTCGCCATCTTTATTCCTCCAGAGCTTTCATCAGTAAAACTGAGGTGGCATTAGATAGATTACCCTTAAGGTTGAAGATGGCAATTCCACAAAATTGAATCCAGCAAGGGGGTGGAGGAAGCTGGAGGTTTCTTTTTAGATGAAAAAGTTTCTTTTAGGAAGAAAGGACAGATGAAGTTTCTTTTATGCTCGTTAGCACACCGCCATCCAAAGTAGATACCCACTGGCTCCTTCTGTTGTTGATGCGTCTCCAAAACACTATCAGAAATGAAATCTCCAGGGTACACACTTCCATCTTTGTTCTCAAGGAAGATTTGGGGCTTCTTTTGATTGTCTTTTCAACTGAAGCTGAGCTTCAAGGAAGCTTAAAGGAAGAGGTTTACTTCTACTTCTTCAGTTATTCATTCAGCAAACACTCACTGAGGACCTGCTACCACGCTGAGGAACCAGGTACAAAAGTGGAGATGATCTATCCAGCTTGGTAAACAAGGTCCTTATTAACCGAGATCATGGCCACCGGGGAAAGGCCACCTCAGATGAATTCGTTCACAATGGATCCAAAATTTCACAGCAAATAGTGGTGAGTTAGGGACATTGAGAATTTGTCTTGAAAAACAATGAAACCAAAAGTCATGAAAATAAGCTGATAAACCTACATAGATAAAACAAAAACAAACCTTCAGTTTATGGGGTATAATGGAAACCTATGAGCTAATTGTTAAAATCAACAAAGGTCAATTAAGGCCTAATGGGGCAGAGTACACTTCTACACAAAATTGTGGGGTAGGCCAATGGGGCTATTCTTCCCCTTGTATCTACTTTCATCACAAGATCATTGAAAGGGACTTTTTCCCACCCAAAATATATTATAGGGTTTTCTAAATTTTTCCAAGGGCTTCTCTTAAGTCTCTGATATTCACATGACTCTCTTGAAGTTGTCTTCATCAGTTTTCTCTTGTTCATTTGTCACCTCATCTGATTCTACCAATGGGTATCAATCAACCCAATGGTCACTTCCATCAGCTTCATGAAAATCTATGTCTTGAGCATGATTTGTGGTTTCACTTGGCAATCAATGCACCTTATATTGTGAAAATTAACCCGAAGGGCAGGGATGGATGCTAATGGAAAAAGAGAAGAAGAGTACGAGGGAGAGACATTTGAAGAGGGTCTCAATTTATCAGAACTCAGCCAGTTCATCAGGGAAGCTTCTCACCCTGTGACAATCATTGGCTCCCCAGCCACCCACTGACAGGGGCGTCCCATAAAGAACATTTGAATTATAAGGTTTCCCCTCAAGTAGGTGTTTGCTTTCCTTGGGATGTTCAGTCACTTGATATCTAAGAACCTTCTTTTCACCAGTCCCCTCAAAGAAGCAGCTCAGGTGTCTGAGATTAATTCCGCTAACACCACATCTCGGCCCTCGTCCTGCAGCGAACATGGGTGAGGAGGGGCGTGCTTCCAAATCGCGATGCTTCTGCCCATCCGCAGGGGCACTTAGCCTGGCGTGTCTGCTAAGTCAGCTCTGCTTTGTATCTAAAAGGAAACTGCCAGCTTCCCCCATCCCCTTGTTGGAAACTTGGATGGGATGGACCACTGAATTTAGGTTTAAAAAACAGACTCTCGGGACAGTCTCAAAGACTGCAATTACTATAAAATCTTATAAATTAGGTCTTTATCCTTCATAACTCCTCTGGCCTTCTGCTTGCAGACGACTTCACTGCCAAGCCATCTGTTAATTCGAATGATTAGTACCAAGCTATCAGGATAGTTTAAAGGAGAGGGAAATTAAGCATCCTTTTAAAAAATATTTTTCAAAAACATTCTCTGTCTCTCATCCTCATAAATTATTGACAGGAAGATTCTCCAAAAATAAAAAGAACAAAGAATCAGTTATAACATCCTATTACAGCCCCTGCACACGAGTATCCCTGACTGCTTATGTTTTACTGATTCCAGTTGGCCTACAAGGATCAGGGTCAAAGGTTTTCCCTACCTTTTCATTGGGAAATTCCTCCCAAAGGTCATTCTCAATTTCTTTGTTGGATTTCACCAAGTCCCCCCAAGTTACAGCCCCCTAGGTCACCCAAAAAGATCATCCTTTCGTTGTGCTGCCATGGGAAACAGGTCCTCTCCCCCCCAAAATATACACGCTTGGACTTGCAAGCACATGCGCACACAGTCACACACACAGACACGGAGAGGTCAGTCCCTCACTGAGAAGCCAGCTCTGATCTCTCCATCCAGGACCTGCCAGGTCAAAGGAGACAAGAAAGTTGTTTGTAAGTGGTGGATGACCAAGGCCCATCTTTAGGTTACTTTGAAGTTACGGTACTTTGTCTTCAAACACCCAACACTCTCAGACCGCCTGTCACTCCACTGTGAAATATTGATATGGGCAAGCTGTGGCAGTAAAATCCCCAATCCCCTTTGATTTCCAGGTGGTGTTTATTTTAATGCACTCTACCACCCTCCGACTCGATGGTGTCCATCATGATCTGTCCACCTCGGGCTTGCAGGTTTACCCAGCCCCTCATCCCTTCTCCCACTCTGACACTTCAATAAGGAATAGGGGCTGATTAATATTCCCTGGGCCAGTGCTTAGACCTCATCCCGCAGGCTCACACCTGCCCTTAGTGGACATCTTCCATGTTCTTCCTAATTGTGGGGGAGGGAGCCCTTTGAAAATGGGCACCAGTGACCCAGACCTCTGGCTCAACTCGCTGCTCAAATAATAAACATGAAAGCACGGACATTTGTCACCACTCCAGGCTGTTGCTGAGACATTATTACCTATGTAGGGCGGCTACATTCCCAGGGGAATTTGAACTATAGATGGCCTCTTGTTTCTTAGCTCCAGATTCGGATTTTATTTCTGATTTTTATTTTTTTTCTGTTTGGACCTGGTTTTACCCACCATTCATTGGCACCCCTAGTTTGCTCTTACAATTTTGGTATGAGAAACTGATGTTGAGACAAGACGTGTACAGAAGTGGGATTTCTCCCACTGTGGAGGGAATGTTAAGATCTCCACCACCATTAGTCAACATAGGTGGGAGGAGGACCATTTCCTGAGGCTGAGAGAAGCTTTTAAAGGGACAGAGGGATTTAAAGGACAATGAAAGATCAGAGGCTTTCCAGCTGATCTCTCTGCTTACACTGGGACCCTCGGGGTCACCATGAGCACACCGGGTACATGTGCAAATTAGGGAGAGGCACTTGCTTCCATTGGAGGATGTGTGGAAAGGCGCCCTCTGTGGGAGAAGGAGAGAGGAGTCAGGGCTCCTTGCTTTGGGCCAACACAGCCCCATAGCCAGAGCACAGGGTCAGACAAACAGTGTGGTGGCTGGATTTCAGCCCCTGTTGGCACAATCCACACAGCCACACACGGAGGCCCTGCCCAGCCCCTATCCAGCCTGCCACCGGGCCTTCTTCCTAAAGAGAAGCTATGGGTCCCATAGCCCAACACATCCATTTTGGGATTGAAGCCACCTGTAGCCACTTGGATAACACTTCCCCCAAGTATGGAACATGTCCTGCTGCTGGTGGACTGGAAGATTCCGTTTCAATGATTCTATATTGATTTAGGTTTATAATAGAACTTTCCTACTAAAACTGTTTGCACACAGTAAGAGCACAGACAACGTGAATTGTTATATAATGAGGGTCCATGTGTGCCACAGCCTTTTTCATGTAGAAACACGTTTTAAGGCCATTTCTGTTGGTTCACAGAAAGGGGAAAATTGTAAAACTGATGTGGTTGAATCATGGCCCCTAAAAAATAGGGCCAAGTCCTAACCCAGAGAACCTGTGACTGACCTTACTTGGAAAAAAGGTCTTTGTAGAGGTGATTAAATTAAGAATCTCAAGATAAGATCATCCTGGATTTAAGGTGAGCCCCAAATCCAATGACAAGTGTCCTTGTAGGAGAAAGAGGGAGATTTGATCCACAGAAACCCAGGGGAGAAGCTGTGTGAAGATGGAAGCAGAGACTGGAGGGATGCGGCCAAAAGCCAAGGATGCCTGGAGCCTCCAGAAGCTGGAAGAGGCAAGGAAGGAGCTTCTGTTTGAGCCTTGGGAGGGAGTGTAAGACTCCTGGCCTCCAGAACTGGGAGAGAATAAATTTTTGTTAAGTCACCAAGTTTGTGGAAACTTCTTCAGCAGCCCTAGGAAACCAGTCCACGTGGTACCAAGTGGGAACAACGGCTTCAGCGGCTCCCACATCCACCGCGGGGCCCAGTGCACTCCAGCCCGCCTGGAGTCAACCCACCCTCCAAGATTTGGTTCTTGGCCCTGAATCTTTACTCACCATTCCCAGTCCAGAAAGCCTCTGTTCTATTCTCCCTACATCTGAATTTCCTGGAGAAGCCCTCTCTCTCCCAAGAAAACTCCTGCTTTGGGTTCCGTCCCCAACACTGACCTCGTCTTCTACTAAACAACACAAATGTTTGTTACCATGTGCCCCACTCGCATCTGGTACTCAGCATAAGCCAGTTTTTATGTACTTATGCACATTATGCTCAGTAGATAATAACAATCAGCTTTTATCATCTGCTTTAGAGTCTGTAAAGTGCTCACTGCCCTCAGTAGCTTGCTTCATTGTCACGTTGAGCCAATGGATAGGTAAGACCCACATCAACTTGCTCTATGACATAAGATTCCAAGGAAGAAGCTTACAGACGTGCCAACGTTATTCCCCATGTGATCTGAGCAAAGGGTGAACAGCTCGTTGGTCTGTCTGTTTTCACCCTGTACATTTATCGAGAGCAGGAATTTTCTTTTCTGCCCCTTCAGTGCATAGCATGGAGCTTAGGAATATAAACATGGAGGCTGATGTGAGTTTCCAGGGGCAGCTTGATTCAGCCCTCTTTAAGGTGCGGAGAAGAGAGCTGGTGGGAAAGCTCTGCCTTTTGGGACAACTGACCGATTTCTGGTTGGTTCTGTTAGGTTCTATGGTGGAGATGGTTTCACCCAAGCACACCCCAATGGGCAATTCCATTGGCCATATCTATTGGAGAAAGAGGAAGGTAGCAGAGTTGAGGATGAGGGCCACAGACAATGAAGAAAGGACAAAGCTGTTCCCTGATAGCATCTCTGCCTACCCCTGCCCCACCTCATCCCAGCCTCTCCTACATCATCCGAACCCTTGATGTTCCCTATCAAAGACAATGCTTTTCCTTGCACAACTGGCCATCCAGTTGAGTAAATACCTACCTTGGTTTAAATTCTCAAGGAGAAACAAAAGGCTAATCCTCATCCTTGCCTCCTGGGGGATTGGAGGGGAGAGCACAAAAGTGCCATCTGCCTGCAGGGGGCCCTGGAGCTACACAAAGGTGGATGAGAAGATGTCCCAGTCTTGTCCCCAGGGGTCAAATCATCGGGACATCAGACAGAGCCCAAGGTCAGCCCTCGAGCCAAACAGACAACAGTTAGCCACAAAAAGATGGTAATTCAGTCACCCCTGGCCAGATGGGACCCTGCAGCCTTTTCACAGATGGGCTTCACATTTCCCAGTCAACCCCCTGCAAGCAGGCTGAGATTGGGCTCATTACGTCTGGGGAGAGGGAAGAAAGGGAGGGGAAATTGAGGTCCGGAGAAGTTAAGCGATTTGTCCTGGTTGCCCAGTGATTGCAACTTAAAATAGCCCTTTTTCCAGGAAGCTGTCCCCATTAGTTCATCCTTGTTTGTCTCCAAGCATGACAAAGGGCGCACCTCTTACCACTTCACATGTAAGCAATGTACCCTCACTCTCACACGTCATAGCTATTCAGATTGCTATTTCACATGGACTCTAAGCCCATCCTGACCCATTTTACCCTCACAACGGCCCTGTGGAAAGAATCAAGTGAACTTCCTTTGTAAAGATGGAGGGGTGGGGGGGTACCAGGAGTTCTGATTCATGTTTTCCAGGCCCTGGAGAGAGCTGTACTGAGTACAGGGCCCAGCCCACGTGGCCAGTACTCAGGAGTGTTCATTGTCTTCTCAGTGTTGGATTCTCAGTATTCTCACCCAGTACCCTTACCCCTAGTTTAGGGTCACGTTGACTGTTCCACAGATATCACTCTTTTTTTTATCCCTCATGCGTCTGTCCCCCTGCTGGACTTCAGGCTCCTGAGGGCAAGGATGGCCATCTCCTGCTCATCCTGCATCCCCAGCAGCCTGGTGCCTTTGTGTGCCCAGTCTGGATCCACCTCCAAGGAGACCGTTACCTGCCGTTTCTGAAGAAGCCTGCTGGAGGGCCCTGCGTGGCCCCAGCCCCTTGAGCGGAGGCGGGGGGCAATCTTTCCTCGGCACCCAGAGAGGCTTGCGCAGTCTGCCGGCTCGCAGCTGAACTCGGCTCTGTGAGAAATTCCCTTTGTACCTGTGGGACAGAGACACACGTATGCAGTAAGCAGGCTTGAGAACAGCCGCCCAGAAGCTCATGCCCACAAAAAATCTGAAAAGACGATGCTCAGACGGTAAAGCCCAAGTCCCTGTGGGGTGCCTGGGAGAACACACGGGCTCGACCTCTAAGTAGCTCGTCTGCTCTTGGACATTCCTCGTCCCTCCTATCCTCATTTTCCCCTCCGTGACATGCGGATAATAACAGGACCTAACTCCCAAGGCTGTGGCAGAGACTAAATGAGATAGTGCTCATGAAATGCTTCCCAGCTGCTTAGCACATAGCAAGTGCTTAATAAAGGTAGCTGCTGTAATTAAATGCTGAATCACGTGGTCTTGACTACTTAATAAACGGGCTGTCCAAAAACTTTCTGCAGTGATGGAGATGTTCTATCATCTGCATGACCAATACAGTAGCCACTAACCACAGGCAACTATGGAGCATTTGAAATGGAGTTAGTATGTCTGAGGAACCGAGTTTTACGTCTGGTCTCATTTTAATGAATTTAAATGGCCGCATGTGGCTAGTGGCTACTATATTGGACAGCGCCGGTCTCAAGGGTCTCCTTTGAAAAAATGGGTATTGCAGACTTTCTATCTAGAGAAGTCCTTCCAGATCAGCTGGTCTAATCTCCAAAACAGAGTATTTACATCTCAGTGGGATAGCACAACAAGAGTAAAGAAAGAAAATTCTAGAGCTTCTATTTATATTTATTTTCATCTTGGCTTTCTGATATTTATTGTTGCATGGCCTTTATAATGTACATAATACATTCGTAGAATAGAACCTATGTATAATTTGTAAATGAACAATTAGGCCTTTATTAGGGGGCAGACTCAAAATTTTTTACTAATAGGAATGTGCTACCAAAAACAGACAAGCTAGTCTAGCGCCCCCATTTTGCAGGCGAAAGAGCAGAGACGCAGAGCAGCTGAGATGTGCCCTAAGAGACCAACCGCGTGGCCACGTGGGAACTAGACTCCAGATCCAGCGTTCTGTACCATTTCGCTAGGGGTCCCCAGTGGTGCTCAGCTGTTGGAAAGGTCTTTGCACTGCTTCAGGCTGCCTGGTCGAGCCACAAGGACTCCCTTCCCTTTACAAGCCTCAGTTTATAAGAATTCTGCTCCCTCAATGCTCTTCAGAACCACCTGGCTGGGGAGTGTGGCGAGGCAAGCTGCTTGGCCATTTTCCTTTCTCCTCTGTCTGAGCCGCTGCCAAGATCCAGCCGCAGTCCCCTAATCACCAGGGCTGCGGGCAGAATTTTAAGTAAGATCTGTGGAATGCAGTATCCTCTTGGGCTCTGATTTTTACAGTAGCAACAATGAGAAAGTGACTTTTTACTCATCTTTTCTGGTGTCCATGTTTGCGGGAAGCTCCACTTACATGGCCCTGTGGCCTCCCCAGCCTTGGGCAGGAGCTGCATTCCCCAGCGGTGCCTGCCTTGCTCTTTGAAGCAGTCTGTCCCTGCTTGTCAAGACCACAGGTGCCTAAAAGAGCTATCTGAGCCAGGATGGGGGGGCGCAACAGGTCTGCCCTTTGCTGATCACAAACCTCTGCACCAGTCAGAGTTCCTGCTGGGCCGGGCATGAGTGGTTTCAAAGTGCAGAGACAAAGGGAGGGAGGGGGGCGGGGGCACGTGGGACAATTCTTCTTCCGTGTGCTGCAGGGCACCTTTGGCCCCAAGTCAGTGGGTGACTGCCACAAGCTTGCAAGTGTTAAGAATGGCACAGTCTGAACTGCAGGGAGGTTTCGATTTTGGAAAATGGATGTGCAAGGGACTCCACTCTGAAAACAGCTAGAGGACTGCTGGGAGAGCCCCAGCCCCTGACTTCAGATCTCATTAAGGTGCAATTTGGACCATTTTGCAGTTAGAGGAGCCCGAGCGGATCTTGGCATTGTCTTCAAAGCAACATTTTGTTTAGTCACAGACAGAGTCTGTTTCTTTCTCTCTTGGGTTCTCCCAGAACATTCTGCATGCAGCTCTCCTGGAGCAGCAAGCCCCTAGGAATGAACAGCCAGGGTGAGACCAGGGCTGTGACCTGCCGTCACAGTCAGACAAGGTCTCTTGCGGTTTAGCAGATGCTGCGAGGACCTCGTCCCCACCGCCTACCCCAGGCTGCACATCCATGCCCAGCTGCTGGGATCTTGGCTATGAACGGCTCACACTTCCTGCCTTCTCAAGAGGATCGCCCTTGGCCAACGGGAGCCATCTTGCATGGAGAGGCCTAGGGATGGGAGGATGGCACACCCCCCAGGAAAGGCCCCTAGCTGTTGCCTGACTGTCGCAGGTTGTGACAGCTCAGTCCCTTTGCCTCTGAACAGGACAATCTCTGGGGTAAATTTCGCACTCCGGAGCTCCTCATAGGATCAGGCAGGACTGGACCCCCAATATCCCATGTTTGCTTGGTTCTTCCCTTGCCCTGTCGACTTCCCCACTCCCTCACAAGCCTCCTTAGAGCCCACCCTCTGTAAATCAGTCGTGTGAGAACCCCGTGTCAGGCGCTGCTTCCAGGAGCCCCGCCTCAGGCACACCAGGGAGTGTTTCCTCCTACTTCCCTCCGCCTCGCTCTCATTCGTCTGTTTCCCCCAGAGACATTCACTCAAGTGTGTTTGACAAACATCCTTAAATATGCACACGTCCTCATAAATATGTAGTGTCACTTTTGTGTGTGATCTTGTAGCACAGAGCCATTCTTTACGTCACTTTACTTTTACTTAAGGCTGTGTTTTTAAGATCAATCCAGATTTCTGTATTTATGTCTAATTTGCTGCTTTTAGCTGGCCTGTACAATGGTTCACATCTTTTGAGAATAAGCTGCCATTTGAGGTCCAGATTTTAAATCCCGCCCCTACCCTCGGCGCCCCTCTGCTCTCTCGGGCTCTCTCGAGGACACCCTTCAAGAGCCTACATTACTGACACTTGCGGAAGATCAGTACAACACTGTAGCTGATGGGCCTCTTGGAAGACGCATCAGAAGAAAGTCTTCTCACCCCACATCAGCTCCAGCAGGGACACTGACGGCTAGTTGGCCAAGGTCAACAGCTCAGGGGACACCGGCTTTGACTGGAGTCCAATGAGAAGCTCATGAGAGGAGGCAACGTACGGTTTTTGTCATGTACCTCGATGCCGGCTGAAAGCCACTGACCACCCTGCCTACTCCGCCCCTACCCCGCCCCCCACGCCCGCTGCCCCTCTTATAAGCCAACTCTGAGGGCAGGAAGTAGGTCCCAGGAGAGGGTCTTACAGATTTACATGGCCTACCTTGCACACACTCATCCTGGGGAGAGAATATGTGGTCTGTCCTATTATTCCTCTCACTTTCCTCTCTGGATCCCACAGGGAATAACAAAGCCAAGAAAAGTGGAGTGGAGGTGTGGTGGCCCTCCGGATCCCATCAGTCAGGACCTGGGACTGAGGCCAAAGCTGCTGGTGCTGTGGAGAATGTGACAAAGGGTCTAGGCCATGTGTAGTGGCAGCCACCATGTCTCCCGGTTTGTGTCTCAGTCTCACTTCAGAGATTGTGCTGTCATTTCTGAGAGAGCTAGCCATAGAATAAGTAAATTGTGTGATGACTAGAGAGCAGACTCCGGCCTCAGACAGACAGACTTCTGCTTTGTAAGGAAAAACACTATCAATTAAGAGAATGGCATTCTCAGTGCCGGCTTTTCTCCTTTGCTCTCCCTGCAATGCCACATGTATATCTTAGGGTTTACAGAGCGCCCTGCTCCCCTCGCTCCAACCTCTAACCCTCCTCCTCACTCATCCCGAATCACCTGGGACTTCACAATTCACTGTCCCATTTGCCGGAATCTTCCTGGAACAAGTCTCTGAGTGTTTCATGCCTCATACAGCGCTGTACACAGCTGCAGATTAATCAATAAAATCCAATCCCATGGTCCAGCGCTTGCTTTGGGCACGGCAGAGCCGCAGCCTGTGGGCCCCTGAATCTCTATGCCTCTAGTTAATGTCAGGCCAATTAGGCATCCAAGTATGAATTTTCTGCATTTTTCCGTTTCCACTCTGAAAATGGATCCTGAATTTTCTTATCCCTCTCCTTTACTCATGTCCTTTCATTAATGAAACCAGCCATTTTCACTTCAGTGCGGTTGGAGTTGGCAACAAACAAAGAGATGAATGAAATGGAGTGCAGTGTCCTGACAGAAACTCCAAATGTAAAGCGGAAGTTAAAATATAGCAAATAAGTGACCAAAAAGTGGCTTAAACCAGGCGTCTGCAGACTTTTGGTATAAAGGTCCAGATAAGAAGTAGTTTAGACTTTGCAGGCCACGTACAAACTCTGCCACACATTCAAATGTAAAAACCATGCCCAGCTCACGGAGGGTGTACAGAAACAGGTCAAAAGCCAAGTGTGGCCCATGGTCCATAGTTGCCTATATGGACAAAAATAAAAATAAATCCTTCCTTACATTAACAGAAAGAGAGAACATAAGAGAATATATTTTTGTATTGGTGATTTTGAGATATTGAGAGTAAGGAAAGATTTCTTAGACAAGACCAAAAAATAATAATCCTAGAGGAAAAGGTGGCTCATTGACGACATCAAATATATAGCTTCTTGATGAGAAAAGAATAATTAACGAGGTTAAAAAGAAGAAGTCCATTTCTAACAGTCCGGTGAACTAGTTACCCTGACTACCACCACACTTACCCTGATACTGAAAACAACTAAAAATGCAGATTAAAATATAAAAATGTTTAAAGCTTATATTAAATGTATTGGTGTTCTGATTAGAAGGTAAGATATTTAAAACTCAAAAACCAAGTGAAAACTAAACCCTGGAAAGGGAAGAGATCTTTCATTTTGAGGCCATCTGCCACACCAGGTTAAGCATGATCTCCCATTTCCGTGGTCTAGTGGGTGCAGGGTGCAGGATTCCAACCCAGAATCTACTCTAGGTGAGTCAAGGGGAAGACACAACCTCTGCTCCTGCATAAAGCTGAGACCTCAGAGGGTCAT